AGCTACTCGGGAGGCTGAGGAAGGAGAATTGCTTGAACCCGGGAGGTGGAGGTTGCAGTGAGCTGAGATAGTGCCACTGCACTCCAGCCTAGGCAACAGAGCAAGACTCCGTCTCAAAAATAATAATAAAAATAAAATAAATATGAAATCAAACTGAACCCCAAAACAGGCTGGGAATTAATGAATGAAAAGATCATTGTTACTGAGAGTTCAGGTATCCGCATTTTTGTGCCTGCACGGCCACCTCCCAGCTGAGGGGTCTTGAACCAGTCACTGCCCTTGGTGTGTGTGGTTTTGTTTTGGCTTAGGTTTTTTTTCTTTTCAAGATAGGGTCTCATTCTGTCACCTAGGCTAGAGTACAGTAGCACTCATTGCAATCTCGAACTCCCGAGTTCAAGCGATCCACCTGCCTCAGGCTGCCGAGTAGCTGGAACCACAGGTGTGAATCACCATGCCTGGCTAATTTATAATTTTTTTTTGGTAGAGATGGGGGGAATCTCTACAAATTTGCCCAGGCTGGTTTTGAACTCCTGGCTTCAAGTGATCCTCCTGCTTCGGCCTCCCAAAGTGCTGGGATTACAAGCAAGAGCCACTGTGCTTGGCCTGGTTTTCTCATCTACAGAGTGAAAATCAGAGAACTCATCCTGATGCTGTCATAAGAGGTTGGGAGGAGGAGGTAATGAACTTGAAAGTGCTTTATAAACTGTACAAACATGAGGGACTATCGCCTTTCTTAAGACAGCTAAATTCCCCCACATTTGGAGCTTGATTAAATCTATACTGAGTTGTTACTGTTGAGAGACAGGCAATAAGAGGTAAGGCAGGAAAATTCCTATCCCTTTTTTTTTTTTTTTGTACTGGGACAAACTTTTTGCCCATGCAAACATTCCAGGTAATAAGCATGCTCAACAGTCTCTCCGAAGAATCAGGACCAGCTGTGTGTTACTAAACAATAAAGGCAGGCAAGCCTTGAAAATGGCCTAAAGACCTTTCTCAGAGCTCCACACCAACCCCACCCCCCAGCCCCGGGAAACATAGCATATTTTCTGTGAGGCCTTGATGGTAGCATCACAAAGCCCTGGGAAACAAAACTTCCCAGTGTATGAGGAGAGCATGCCGTGTCTTGTTCCGGGGACACTGAGCCGTGAGCATAAAACACTGCATTCCAAAACCCAGTGAAAGAAGCAATCGTCTCTCAGTTTAATTATAGATTCTTCACTTTCCCTTAATTGCTTCAGTCAGCACTGTTGATTCTGGGGGAGTCACAGTAAACGGGCAGGGCTATTGCTGTTAAACAAGGGGTGACTATCAGGTAATGAGGTTTCCATTCTGTTTTTTTCAAACAAACAAACCCTAATGTACATATACAAGTGAGCATTCCTGTCAAAGGTGTCACATTGGGAAACGATGCTCATGTTGACTCTCCTCTGTAACCAAATATTGAAAAACGTAGTATGACACAAGTGCTTTTATGGAAGGAAAAGACAGTATATTTAATATTAAAGGTTTCCTAGAAAACCTGAGATATGTGATCCTCAGAACTATAGGGGGCCCCAGGTGACCAACTGGGCTAATGGTCATGCCATGGGAAATACCCATTAAATGACTCCCAAAGAGAGGGTTCTCCCTGCATCATGCATAGACACTTTTCCTACACAAAAAGATCCATGTATTTTGTCTACTTCCCTGGATCCCATAAGCCCTAAATGTCTTGCACACAAAAGGTGTCCAATAAATATTTGGAGACATTTGTCTTACCCTATCACGATACTTATATTCATTCTTCAAGAAATAAAACACACAGCCCATATTTTGAATGGAAACAAGATCTTTTGAACCTAGATTTGTTACTTTACCTTCCCGGACTTACCTATAAGTCAATAAGAAAGTTGGACTTGTCAGTCATAAAAAAAAAAAAAAATCATTCAACAAACATTCATTGAGAAATGACTGAATACCAAACATTGGAGAAATCGGGAAATTCCAAGCATGTTCGTGGTGTTCACATAGAGCCTCTGGGCCAAGAATGTTCTGCAGGCTCTCATGCCACCATGATTTGGTAAGCTTTTTACTGTCAAGGAATATAGACCCTCTCATGTAACCTCAGGAAATACAGGGGGTTATTATAAGGACCCCTGGAACTGAAATTTGGTCATATTCTCCCAGTCTCTTTCTCTAAATGGTGTTTCTGTTTATCTTGATATGCCTGCTTCATTCTTTCTCTATAATCACTTCTCTGCTTTTTCATAACTTAGCTGATGCATGCCTATTGTGCTGTATTAGTCAGGAGAAGCTAGTGATGCTTCAGTAACAAATAACCCCCAATCTCAGTGTCCTAAAATAACAAATATTTATATCTTGTTTTCACTACATGTCCACCAAGGGTTAGTTGGGGGGAAAGAGGGAGCCACTTGAAAACCCACAATGATAGAGCAGCCACAGTCTTGAAAAATGAACATGGTTAGACGTGGACTAACTAAGTATCCAGCATAAGTCATTTCTGCTCACATTTCCTTGGCCAAAGCAAGTCAAATGGCCACAGCCAACTTAACTGGGTGGGATGTACAATGCTACCAAGAAATTGACTGGGGAGAAAGCCTAAAAAATTGTGAATAACCTTAATCACCTTTACACATGGCATTTCCTGCCCGACGCTTCAACCGCTGAATATAGCCATAGGTGAGGGAGTCTGGGAGAGGAAGAGGTGAAAAGAAGAGAAGAGATGGCTTTAAACTACACAATAAGGTCTGAATGTCTGAATCTGGAATTCAAGGCCCTTTATCATACCGCCCCAACCTTCCTTTTGTTTCATGTCCCCACTCACCCCCAAAATCCTACTGTCCAACCACCACCAAACATTCCTTTTTCTTTCCTTGACTCATACAATGGCCCTCCTCTCTAGCTAACTGCTACCCTTCCTTTGAAATCAGTTTAAAAACCACACCACCTTTTCAGAGAAGCTTTTCCCATCTGCTGTGACCTAGTCATTTCTATTTCTTCCTCCTGTGAATTCTTATACCCTGCTCAAGCCAAACACCTGGAGGACATAGACCTGTGCTACTCATTCTTTGGATTCCAGAACCTAGTACCTGCCTAGTATATAGCAGGTACTCAATAATCGCATGTTTAAAAAGTTGCTTGTAGCATGATTTCATTTAAGGAAATGTTAATGAGTTTCTCGGCTACATATGGCACAGTGAGAAAAGAAGTCAGTAACGTGTGGTCCCGCAAGGAGTTTCTCTAGTTCAGTTGCCTCTTTTTATAAGTGACAAAAAAGGCTTAGAGAGATTGTAACATGGCTAAGGTCACACTGCAAGGAAGTGACCAGGCCAGGTTTGGATCCCTGAAACTGACTCCTAACTCCCTATTCTTGCCTCCTCTGCTGAGCTCCAACATGGGGAGTCAGCTCCCTGGAGTCCACGCATCTGGATATTGTCCACATGCCTGGAACTTTGTCACTGTTCCGGTGGCTGGGTTGACGTACTGTGATTAAAGGGCTGTGGTCAATTTCTGTGCCATGCAGCCCCTATGCACACAGCTCTAATGTTCTGACCGTTAGGTCAGTGTCAGTGTATCTTTTCCCTCCTGGGCAGTTGGGTTAGTGGAAGAAACCCGATAAAATCCTGGAGAGGAACTTGATCATTCACTGAAGGACTTACAAGTTGTTTGGCCTGCCTAATCTGCTCAGATACCGTCCGGGGAATATTCGGTAACCATGCAGTACAGACTGTGAATTATTCTGTGGGGACTGTTAACAAGACCCTCACCAACCCTGCCTCAGCTGAGCTCAGGGCTTGGGGGCAGCCCTCTCTCCTCCCCTCCCACTGACGCTCTGAAAAAAAGCAGGCTTTCCCCCTTGGGGGATGGGAGCAGTAGAGTTCAAAATAAGAAGTGTTGGGGGAAAAATCCTCCCGCTTCCAAGCACAGCTCACATGGCAAAGCCGGGCCTGCTCCCTCCTCAGAATTGCGGCTGCGGATGCAATGACTTAGCCGGGATAACGCCGATCCCACGTTTTCCGAAACCTGGCACCTAAGCATCTAACATGGAAAGGCCGACTCCCTAAAATCAGTGCAAGAAAAATTATAACAAGTTAGATCTGGAGGGACCTCGGAGATCATCTATACCCTAGATTTAAAGTTGAGAAAGCCGCGGGCAGCAAACAAGTTCACACAGTTGCTGGTGGCAGAGTAGAGACCACAGACCAAGTTGCGTGAGTCTAAACTCAATGTTCTTTCCCCCTTGAACTGCCACCCGCACACACACGTACACACGCACACCTTTTTGGAGGCACCGCACAGCAAGCACAGAAGTACGCCACTGAGTCCTGTGTCCCTAAAGTATTTGACTGTCACCTCCGCTGGGGGAAAGGGCACGCAGAAAACAAGACTCCGTCTGCTGTCGCTGTGCCGCCCCCTGCCTTTCTGACCCGCGCCCGCAGAGAAAGTCTCAGAAGCCGCCCCAGGCTTTCTCCCACGTTCTCCCTTTCTCTGTTTCAGTTGAGTTTCCAGAGCGTGAGCGTCCAGGATGACACCTGGCTGGCTGAGAGCTGCCTGGGAGGCGCTGGCGGGTGCCGAGAGCTCACCGGCCCTGACGCCGGGTGCGGCACGGCTGGGAAGCCTCCGGGCCTTTGGCTAAGCGCGCCGGGGGACGGCCCAGGGGGGCGACGCGCATCCACCACTTGGCCCGCGCTCTCCCAGCCTCCGGCGGCTCACAGCAGGCTCGGCTGGGGATCCAAATGGCGGGGTGTCGGCCCTGAGAGAAGGGGGCGCGGAGGGAAGAGGGCTGCGCCTTAGCCCCGGCTCGGCCCCAACGCCCTCTCCCTTGCGCGCAGGTTTAGAAACAGGGCGGCCTTGCTCGGCAGCCGACTCGGCGGCTCGGGTCCCCATATATAGTCATATCCACCGTCAACTGGGAGGCCGGCGGCCGGCAGCGAATGGGCGAGCAGCCCCCGCGGGAGGAGCGGGGAGGGGGCACGGGGCGGAGGGAGGAGAGGAGGAAGGGGGGCAGGAGAAAAAAGCTTTTCCAAAAAAGTATTGGCTGTCTTGAGGAATGCGGTCGCCCCCTTGGGAAAGTACATATCTGGGAGCAGCAGGCGGCTCCGGGCTCGCACTCTCGCTCCTCCGCCCGATCGCGCGCTCGCCCCGCCGCTCCTGCCGCAGCCCCAGGGCCCCTCGCAGCCGCCACCATGGACGCCATCAAGAAGAAGATGCAGATGCTGAAGCTCGACAAGGAGAACGCCTTGGATCGAGCTGAGCAGGCGGAGGCCGACAAGAAGGCGGCGGAAGACAGGAGCAAGCAGGTCTGCGCCTCCCCGGCCCTGAACCCGCGCCCCGAGCGCGGGGACCCGAGCCTGGCACCCCCGGCTGGATCCCCACCCCGAGGACTCGCCCTACCCCCACCACCACCCAGGGCGGCCAGGGCGCGCGTCTGGAAAGAAGGAAGGGAAATGCAAGAGCCAGGCTTAGTCTAACTTTGTAGTCTGATCTGAGGACGCTTATTTCCCTTCTCTGGTTCCCATGGCCCGCGAAGTCAAGTCCTAGAGGCGCTTTATTCTCAGGACTGGGAATCAGTTTGGGGGAGGGAGGAGGACACCCGGTTCCTGGGGACGTTTGAAGGAAGGGCGCGGGATGGAGAAAGGGTGTCGAGTAATTCAAGTGTTGTAAGTTATTTGACTTTTGACTGGGGAGAAAGGAACGTTAAACTTGGGGAGGAAAGGGGAGTCATGGAGTTGTTACCAAAGAACAAAGATGGGACGGAATGGAGGCTACAGCCCGAAAGCCAGGCCAGCAGTGGCGTTCTTCTGTGTCCCAAAGTAGTGGACTTGAGCCCGCTGAGACCTCGGCAGGAGTCTCCTCCCAGGGCAGGTGGGTGTGCGGGGTGAGCCCTGGAGCGGTTCCAGCTCGGGTAAAGAGAAAGTTACCTTGGGTCCCTTGCACTCCATCTCGGCGGCGGTGCCCCGAGCCCCAGGGGCCCCAGTCAACCCGATGCCCGTGTGTTGTGTGTGTCTAACACCCGGTCCGTGCCGGCCGTCCGCGCCCGCCCGCCGCTGCCCCCAGCTCGAGGAGGACATCGCGGCCAAGGAGAAGTTGCTGCGGGTGTCGGAGGACGAGCGGGACCGGGTGCTGGAGGAGCTGCACAAGGCGGAGGACAGCCTCCTGGCCGCCGAGGAGGCCGCCGCCAAGGTACCCGGGGCGCGCGGCACAGCGTGGCGCACGAATGGCTAACTCTTTCTCTTTCTCTCTCTCTCTCTCCCTGTCTTTCCCTCTGTCTCTCCCGCTGTCCCTGTCCTTCTGGTTCTGTGCACCCACACCCCTCCCCTTCGGGATCACGCTGCCTGCTGCACCCCCCTCCCTCCCCGTACCCCCTGGCCAAATCCCAGCTGGAAGATGAGCTGGTGTCACTGCAAAAGAAACTCAAGGGCACCGAAGATGAACTGGACAAATACTCTGAGGCTCTCAAAGATGCCCAGGAGAAGCTGGAGCTGGCAGAGAAAAAGGCCACCGACGTAAGTGCACGCTCACACTGCTTCCCTCACCTCTTGCCTGCGTGGCCACTCTGCGGTCACCACAGGGCTAGAGAGCAATGGAGGAAGGTTACCTTCTCCTGCTGGACACCTGCACACAGCCCTGCCATGGCCCAGAGCATTGGATGCTGCCTCTGACTGCTACTGCACACATTCATTTATATTTCATCCACTCCTCTCTTCTTCTCCTTTCCTTTACCTCCCTGGGGGTGGAGGTGGGTAGATGAGAGTCTGGGAGAATAGAGCAGCTGAAATTGGACTCTGGAGGTGAACTTCACTTCCCTGGTGGCAGAAAACCCTGAGGTGCCATCACCAAGGTTTGTGGAGAGAATGCCAGGTTTTCTTCACTTTCTTTCCTTTTGCCCTCTCCAGTGGGTGGGAAGTTCTGGATTTTGGTGGTGGGTCTAGTCAGGGTTCAGAGAACCTGGCCTCTAAATGAAAGAAATGACACAATGGTACTTTTATTTAGAAGGTTGCACTTCATGGTGAGGCACAGAGACACTTTGAGGCTTCCTTTCTCACTAGCGTAAGCCTTAATCCACCCCTTAAGATCTGCCTGGGAAGATGATACTTGCTTGGGTCTGCAGTCTGAAGGCACTAGGTCCAGAAAGTAAGCTGTGAGTTATATATAGCTCAGTGCTTTATATGGTATAGTGAGCTAGCTGCCCCCTGCCCCTCCTGCTGGCCCCGCCCCCACCTGTCAGCCTTTTGACAACCGCCACATAGTTGCAGGGGTGATGCACACAGCTAAGGCCCTCCTAAGCTCTTTGTCCACTGCCCTTTGGAAGCTTTTTAATTGAGGGCTTGCCTCTTCTGCCTCAGAAAGTCAAGCCAAAGGACCAACTTCTTTTCACACCATTGGATTCCATGCTAAAAGCTAATTAAGCCTAGAGGCCCAATTAGAAAAGAATTCCTTGGGAAGTTGGTAACAATTCCAAGAATGCGTGAGCACAGGGAAAGCTATGCCAGCAGTTGAAACACCAAGGGCAACAGCAGACTTTTTTATATGAAAGTAACATGCAAATAACTGAAGGGTCTCAGGTCTTGAAATTAGTAAAGGCCTTTGTAGCATGAAAGGCTTGAGATGTATGTACAGGTGTGCTTTGTAAATGAGAAATCCAGAGAGGACATTTAGAATCTGACAAAAAGAAATTTTCAGTGAAAAGGTTCCTGGAAAGGGGATTTGGGGGAAGCACTGATTTCACTAAAACATTTAAATTATAAACTACCTGGCTTTGGAAAAAGAGCCAAAAACCATATATAACTCTGAGCCTACTTTGTATAATGCAGATCAGATGCCTGCTTTATATATGGCTAAATGAAAGATGCCTGCCTCCCGCAAATTCTCCAGCAGGACGTTTATTTAGCTTTTTCAAAAGAGCTGCTGATAGATCAAGGAAAGATAGTCCTTATAAGGAAAAGAATGCAGAGAATTTGAAAATAGCCCAGTAAGACTGAAGGCAAAAGAGGGAGAAAAAGGTTACTACAATTCTTTAAAAAAAAAAAAAAAAAAAGGATAATAATTATTATAACTATGCAGTGCTAACATGTCTTTATTGAAAAGTCTTGTTGAAGGGAGCACTGGAATGGGGTGGGGCAGAAATGGAAAAGAAGTTATTTAAAGTCAGCTGGTGTGGGAAGCAGCAGGGGAGGGACCTTCTTGGATCTTGTTTTGCTTATTTTTCCCACTGGGGAACTGCCCCTAAATCTGGCATATATGGTTTTTTTGGTAGTGTATTGATCACATTTCCTTTTAGGACACTTTAGGTTGTCTGGAGTTTAGAGCCCGTAGGAATATTGAAGAAGTTAGTGAAGAAATGCTATACAGTCATTTGTTGATTAACGAAGGGGGATAAAGTCTGAGACATGTGTCGTTAGGTGATTTCTTCATTGTGAAAACACCATAGAGTGTATAGTACTTACACAAACCTAGAGGGTATAGCCTATTAAACACCTGTACAGCATGTTAGTGTACTGAATACTGTCAACAATTGTAAGACAAATCACCAGGCCATAGGAATTTTTTAGCTCTATTATAATCTTATGAGGCTACTCTCATATATGCAGCCCCTCGTTGACCGAAACATCATTATGTGGTGCATGACCGTATTCAGAGTGGTAGCTTTTATTTATTACAAAATAGTCAGAACTTGAGGAGGAAGAGACAGATGTCACTAGAAAAAGGGAGAAGTGGGGTGAGGGAGAAGTCAGTTTCCTGAGGTGGAATCATATTACCTTTGGGATTAGGACATTTTACTGTCATTGTTCACCAGTGTAAAACACTTTTACATTTTTTTTATTATTATTACTAAAAACATTTTTCTGCTACTTTACTGATGTACTTTACAAATCCTATTCTGGAAGTGGGCTCTTCCTAGCTTAGAAGATTGTCATCCAGGAGTAGTATCCCTGATGGTCTTGTTTTGAATTTTGTGTTGTCGTTCCACCTAAGTCAAAAGTGAGGCTGAAGGGGATTGAAGACTCCATTTTTTTCTGGCCCCTAATCTCTTCCCCAGTAACTGTGATATATGTGATATTTATAGCATGTGAGTCTTTATCCCTTTGTAGGTCTTTACTTCCTAACTTAGGGATTCTCAACCTCCTCTAAACATAATCACTTAGGAAGCTTTTAAAACCTACAGTTAGGATGCACCCAAGGCCAGTTAAATCAGAATCCCTGGGGTGCAACCCAGGCGGCAGCATTTGAAAAATACCCAAGTGATTCCAACCTGCAGACAAGGGTGAGAAAACGCTTCTAAACTCTTGCATAATGACATCAGCATGAAAATGAACTCACCTGAAACTGACTTTCCCAGGACATTAAGTCACTAATTGGCTGCTTAGAGCACTTGCCAGTGTCCAGCAGTTTCCTGGCAGCTCCTGGAGGTTCCCAGACACCCGGTTCCCCCATTCTCAATGTTGGAGGCCCACAGTCTCTGCACTTAGGGGACCAGCTGTAACCTCCCCGCCTGACCAGATAAACCACGTGAAAACAAAGCGAGACACTCCCACCTACAGGATGCAAGGACCCAAGCTGGGATTTGTGAGAGTCTCAGCAGAGGCTATGAGGAACTCCACAGAAAATGAGTCAGGAAAGCAAAAGTTCTTTGTTAGGGCTTGGAGGAGGAGAGGGTTGTCAAGCATGTTTTCTTTATTATTCCCACACATAGGGAGCTGGCTTTAAGAGCTTTCTGTGACAAAGCTGAGGAGAAAAAGCCCTGAGACTTAGAAGGCATTTAAGAATACATCCCAAGGGGGAAATCAGCGGAGATTGTATCTGCAGTGGTTTTCTCCACCTGTAGCCAGAGGCTCTCTCATAGGGTTCTGCGGCTTTCCTTGGGGCGCCTTTTAAAGGCATCCCAGTCCAGCCCAGGATTGATCGGATTCCAGGAGATGGCAGAGGCTGGTCTGACACCAAAGAAGGCTGTAAAGACAAGAGACCCTTTGGATGGCTGTTTTCATGGGAAGTGAGCCCCAGCGAGGTTGGCCTGGGATCACACAGCTGCTTATGGGCCTCAGCCTGACTCTTAAAACAGTGCTTGTGTATTTCTTAATCGTAGCTATCTTTTGAGTTTTTAACTATGTACAAGGTATTGTGCTAAGCGCTTTATGGTCCTTCATAATTCTCATAGCAGCCTCATGGGGAAAGTACTATTACTATTCCCACTTTTACAGATGACGCCCAGAGAAGACAAGTTATTTGTCCGAAGTCACGCAGCAGGAAACTAGGCGCCAGATTCAACGTAGGAAAACTGCATTTAGAACAGGAGGTCTAACCACTATGCTCTACACGTGGGTGCTTCTCACTTCGTGAAGTTTGGGGGAATGGGGGTATTGCTGGGGTTATAATCTTGTGGTTAGGATCAGTCCTTTTTGGGTTATAATCTTGTGGTTAGGATCAGTCCCTTTAGGGCATATTCCGGCTCCAGACCCGCAGCTCAGCTTCTCTGGCTCCTGGGCATGGGAATCTGGACTCCGGAGCGCAGCGCTCCCGCGGCCAGCAGGAGTCGCTATTGCCCTTAGCAGCCAGCTCCGTTTCCCCGGGTCACCACGGCGCCGGGGAGGGGCCTTAGAAGTGGAAGCCAGAACCCTCGTGCAGTGGCCTCCCGGAGCGCCCAGCCCACCAGGTACCCCCGCCGCGCTCCGGGCGCGCCTTTCTACCCGCCGCCTCGAGCATGCGCAGTACCCCGGCCGGTCCCGGGATCCGCGGCGCGCACCCCGCCCTGCCGTGCCCGCCCCCGGCGCTCGTGCGCCCGCCTGCGGTTCGTCTGCGCCGCCCTGGAGGCCGCGACTTCCGGACTGCTCCTGGCCGCAGGGGGCGCCGCCGTCGCACAGAGAGGCCTGGGCGGGGCGGACCGGCGCTGGGCAGCCGGGACAGCCGCGGCAGCCGGGTCCGCAGGGCAGCAGCCGGCCTCTCCCATTGCAGCCCGCCCGCCCGCCTACCGGTCCGGCGCGATGGCGGGGAGTAGCTCCCTGGAGGCGGTGCGGAGGAAGATCCGGAGCCTGCAGGAGCAGGCGGACGCCGCAGAGGAGCGCGCGGGCACCCTGCAGCGCGAGCTGGACCACGAGAGGAAGCTGAGGGAGACCGTAAGGGACCCACCCATCACCCCGCAGACCCCAGAGGCGCATCCTCCCCGGGCAGCCCCGCGGCGCCCAGCAGGGCCCTCCTGCAGGCTCCGGTCCCCAGTCCCCACGCCTCCAGGGCGCACCTGGCGCACCTGGGCCAGCTGGCGGCGGGCTCTGGGGAGGGGCCCGGCCTATTCTCAGCCTTTCCTTTCCATCTCGCTGATCTAAAGTAAACGCTCCCAGGGGAAGCAGGGGTGGTGTTGAGAAGGTTCTGGAAGGAGCATTTTCCCAGGAAGGGTCTGTTTCTGGGGTGGTGGCTTTCGGTCGTGTGTCTGCGTCCCCGGGAGGTGCACTTTGCGCTGCTGGCTTGCTTTACTCTGAGAGTGGAGTGGGAGGAGGTCCTTCCTCTTGGACAT